CCATTTGTATGATTTCAAAGCTCTGAATACATAAAAACCTAACACAGAATAATACATGTCCAGTGCATTTTTAAATTTGATAAATACTCTAAATACTTAATTTGACCTAAATGTGGTGCCTAAAAATCAGCTGCTCCACAACTAATCTATAAGACTTAAAAATCTACACAACTGAACCTTCATAGTTTGCTGTATTAGAACAGACCCTTCCTTTTTTAGAGACAGGGTGTCACTGAGTTGCTTAGCACCTTGCTTTTGCTGGGGCTGGCTTTGAACTCATGATCCTCCTGCCTCAGCCTCCCAAGCCACTGGGATTACAAATGAGGGCCCAGCTGATCAGGCTCTTCAAGGCTTTAAACAGTAGAGTAGCTCCAGAGTGCATGCAAAGAAATTTAGAGAGCACACTGCAGCTTTTGGTGCCTCCTGACAAAGTAGGCTCACTTAGTGTTACCAAGAGAATGACCCTATATTCTCCTTTCTTAAATATACTCACCTATTTATTTAATTAGTTAGGCTAACGAATCCACATGGTAACCTTTATTAAACTGATATTTTAAACTTAAAAAATCAATTATATAAAATAGGACTTTTAAATAAAATTGATATGTTTACAAATTGATATAAACACAACTACAATCAAAAGTTAAAATAAAAATATATGCATTCACATTCAGGGTTTCATTGTTATTTATTACAAACGTGAATAAGTTACCAGCAGAGGGCACTCACAAAAGGGGGGGGGGGGGAAGCTGGCCACAGCCTTGAAAAGAAATACACTTAGAATTGCTGTCAATATTTTAATTTAAAAACACAATGTTTTAATATAATGGTAGAATAACCAACCTAATGTATAGTTTACAAAAGATAAAATTTAAATCTACATTATGCTTGAAAAATAACATACAGTTTACCTTAGGGGCATGAATTTGACAATTAAAGAGATGCCTATATTTAGCACATACTGGAGTTTCAACCTCAGAACTATTAATATATGAAGTCAGGTAATTCTTTGTTGTAGAGGCTATATTGTGTACTACAGCAAATTTAACAGCACCCTTGGCCTTTATCCTATCAGTACCAGCAGCAGCCCTACCTTCCCAAGTTGTGATAACCAAAAATGTCTTCCACATGATGACATATATGTATAAAATCAGAAAAATAACAGCTTACACTTTTATATAAGGTTTTTATTATACCACTTTTCTATATTGGCTTAATATTTTTGCAGTATAAACATGTATTCTACAAAAAAATGAATTCTTAGTAAACATTAAAAAGCCAAATAAATAGAAAAATTGATAAACCTTGGTAAATAAACACCCCACAGCTAAAGCACTAAAGATGGGACAAATTGATCAAGTTATGAATCCACTTTTTCTTACTGAATAGGAAACTGTTTCATCAAAGGGCATAATACTTGGACTAAATTAACAGAAGTAAACAGAATATCAAAGAATTACAGCCTGAGAAAAAGTACTTGCTATATTTAGTTTTACTAGCACAATATATACAATAGAAACTCAATATACATTTGCTAACTGATCTTTGTGTTGATAACTTCCTATAGTTTTAAAAGATTTTATTTTCTTCCACCAAAGTTTACCAAGGGAAAAAACATTTCAGGGAACATGTTTTGACAACAAATGATTTCTAAACTATAAAAACATGTATTTCTAGACACATGTTGTGTTAGGAGACTTCTTAAAGTTTTCAATAATCTTGCCCCACTAACAAGGTATTTTGTTATTTTCTGACACTTGTTGGTAGACATAATAAAAGATAAAAATAAAATCTTTCAGGATAGGGTTGGTGCTATAGCTTAATGGTAGAGCACCTGCCTAGCACATGTGAGGCACTGGGTTCCATCCTCAGCATCACACAAAAATAAATAAATAAATAAAAAAGATACTGTGTCCATCTACAACTAAAAAAACTATTAAAAAAAATCTTTCAGACTAGAAGATGATTATATGCACATACCCTCAAATATAAATACACTCCATGTGTCATGCCTAATTCTATATTATATCTCAGTCATTAAGTTAGTATTAGTAGGCTAAGATCAAATTTTGATATATTAATAAATCTGAATTGGGCTACATTATTAAATATTTTCTTTGTTTGAAAGACTATTTTTCACGTTCACAGAGTGATATAAGGTATAGTGGAAATTTCATTTGTTTTCAGAAAATCCAAATTCAAATCCTACCAATTATGAACTGGGTCTTCTAGGCAATTAAGAATATCTCAGACTATTTTTACCTCATACAATGATATAAACATTGATTACCCTCCTTACCCACCTTCTAGAGAAGTTCTTTGCAAATTCTAAATCACTAAAAAAAAAAAAAAAATGGTAGTAATTTAAATTTTTAAAAAATTTCCCCCCCCCCAACCCCCTTTTTTTTGTTTTGTTTTGGGATTGAACTCAGGGGCACTCAACCACTGAGCCACATCCCCATTCCTATTTTGTATTTTATTTAAACACGGGGTCTCACTGAGTTGCTTAGCACCTCGCTTTTGCTGAGGCTGGCTTTGAACTCATGATCCTCTTGCCTCAGCCTCCCAAACTGCTGGTTACAGATGTGCACCATTGTGCCCAGCTTCTTTTTTTTTTCATGTAGAAAAATTTGAGTGAACTCCAAATGGGCAAAGTGTAGGTCCTTTCTAATTTTCTCTATAACCACATTATTTACTAATCAAAACCTAATTGCAGCAGTGAACTCTTCTATTCTCCTTTTTAACTTTTTACAATAACATGGAACAGCATTTTTATTCAATCAACTCTCCATTAAATTACTGTTTTCTTGTCTTTCTTATAGTTGTACTAACTACACCAAGAACTTAGTGTATTATTTCCTCTGAAACTCACTATTACCTGGGAGAGAAAGTGATCATCTCAGATACCTTTCCCCAGGTGGCTCAGCTAGGTGAGGGAATGTCAGTTTCAAAGTTCACAGGTAATCAATGCTTCCCAGAATCAAGTGTTCTGGCCTGGCAGAAATCATAATTAGAGTTAAATTTATAAACTGTTTCTATCTTACGCACAACACATTAACGGTTAGCTCTATTTTCTTTAAGATTAATATTGCATTTTAATTTTTTTTGGGGGGGGTGGGAGGGTGGTTATTAGGAATTGAATCCAGAGGTGCTTAACCACTGAGTTATATCCCCAGCCTCTTTATATTTTATTTTGAGACAGGGTCTCAAATACACCTCACTAATTTGCTGAGGCTGGCTTTGAACTTGAGATCTGCCTCAGCCTCCCAAATTGCTGGCATCCACTATGCCCAAGTGCATTTTAACAATTTTGACAAAAAATGTCTTAGCCTATTTTATCTCATTCATGCATTTATGATGTCTTACATTCTCAGATTTTCAGGGATAATGGAAAGCAGCTCTGCTAAAATCATCTTTAGTATCCTGGAAAACTTCCATGCTTAACCTTCACTCTCTTAAAACTTCCTTTTACTTCTGATTTAAATGGTATCTTAAATGGTAGATATGCCAATTGACCTTGGATTTGGAACAGATTGAAATTAGTAAACTATTCCATCTTCTTCTTCAAAAAAACCCCAAAACTATAGTAGCATTGAACTGACTTGTCAAAATACTTAGAGACTATTACATAGGAGGTCCACTTCAATTAGACTGTTACCCTTTACTAATGGAAATTCTTAAACATAAAAGCCAAATAAAAGTTGCTTCTGTTTAAAAACAAATTTTTACAAATAAGAATAATTTCTCCTTTTTTTGAACTACCAAAAATATTTGGCATTTCATTATGAACATTTCATTAATTATCTAATTAATCTTGAAAGTTCTAAACTGAATAAACATTCTCCCAAGACCATCAATGCCCTTAGAATCCATCTCAGTGCAGTGTTTCTTCAAGACATTACATAGCACAGACTTTATTAAGGCATTTTGACCTGTTCTTGATCTACAATCTGGAACTTGGAAAAAGACCTAGAAAATACTTCAGAACCAATTTTTTTTTTTTAAATTAGAACAAGAATAAAAATTGAGATTAGGATTGTTTAACCTAGGGTAAAGATGCCTAAGAAATAATCTAGTGATAGTAGGCTATTTAAAAGACAAGGTGATGTTTTTATTCCCACCTTCCTGTTACATTTAACATGAAACTTTAGATTAAGATTATATCCAAAATATGCTAACAGTTATCTTCTGAAATGAGTTAACAAAGACAATCATGGAATATCCCCTCCTGCATGTCTCTGGGATTAAATAAATCCTTATCTGCTTAGGATAATTTAACTCTAGTGTTGCCAGAAGGCAGTGGGAAATAATACCTGATTTCTCAGGGTATTTTCCCACCAAGTCTTTATTCTTTCATTTTGCTGTTGGTAAATTTTCAAAAAAACTAAAAATCTATGAAAATAATCCTAAAACGTTTGATAAATGAACTGTATTTTAAAACAGTCTAACATTTCCTTGAGTAAATTTAAAAAGTACTGCAAAATAAAGGTAAGGATTGGTAGTGGTACCTTTATATAATACCACCTCAGGCAAAGAATGAGTTTTTTAAAAAGCACCAGGTAGCACTAATTAAGTTAAAGAGTATCAACTGTCAAATAATCACATTTTACAAATAAAATTCAATCTAACTTCTACATAACTTTGAAACAAGAAGACACCTATAAAAATAAAAGTTATATTTAAAAAATGACTTTAAGGTACACATAGAATGTAAATTCACATCTTTACCTTCTCTCGAAACTCTCAAACACAATTCCAATCAACATGTACATTAGCTGTCAGAGTGAATATCTTGGACCTTAATATTCTCCACCATAGACTCCCAAGAGAAGCAGGTTATACATAACCCAAGGACACAGGAAATCCAAGGATGTTTCAGGTAATAAATTTCACTATAATTACCCTGTAATAACGACTTACAAAAACGATCAGAGAAACTTCTTTTGGTATCAAACTTGGTCCTACACAAGTAATTTGTATAATATTAAAACAAGGTTTACCTCTATTGTAGGATCATATTCATCCACAAAGTGATTCTGAATTAGCTGTATCGTCAAGGCACTCTTGCCTACGCCACCAGCTCCAACTACCACAAGTTTATATTCAGTCATTTTCAGCAGGCCTTATAATAAAAATAATGAAAATTGACTAAATTAGAATGTGAAGATGCATGGAGGTTAATACTCTATCAAATACTCTATCAATACCTTTTAATACAAACTCACCTTTACACAGAAACTATTCGGAAATTCAATGATGAAAACTTAAGTTGACTACAGATATGCATTCTAAGGAACTATACTTCAGTCACAAACTACTTCATCAACACTTAAGAAAAATGCACACAGAATACATGGCCAGTTTTTTTTAATTTTATATTCAGAAGGATATTCTGTCTAAACAACTAGACTGCTATTCTGTAGCAACTAATGGTTTTCAAAGGAACACATCCCAACTTTCCTAAGCACAAGTATCTCACATGGTGCTCTATATCCCACTGACGCACCCACACAAACTTGCTGACAGCTGTCCCCACTTATTCCTAGTTGACTGGCCTCTAAGTTAGAAGTAGATGAGCCAAGACTGTCTTTGTTGGAGGCAACAGCTATAGAAAACTTTTTAATAGCCTCATCAAAATAGTTCTTCTGGATAAGTACCAAAATTACATGGAGTCTAGTGTCAAAGTTAGACTGTGTCATAAGGAAATAAAAATTTGGACACTGAAGCAATATTTAATGACATTTTAATCTTTAAAATATCTGCAGGGAAGAACAAATGTAAAAACCAGGAGAATTTTGGATTAACTATTCAGTGCACGTGATCTGATCATCAATCATAATATAAAATCCTCAATGTTAGTGCTGAAAAATAGCACTTTTGAATGAAAAATATGACTGAATAAAATTCAGAGATTAAACACTGCTTTCAGCAAGAAAAAAAACCTATTAAGATGTAAGGGAATATTTCTCAGTATCAACCTGACTTTTACTCTGCTTTTGGTACATTCTCCCTCAACAGGTTCCATAAACTTGACAATTTGTAGAGTTAACAATCACCAGATGAAGATTTTTTTAGTCACATAGTTTAAACTTTTTGAATAAAACAAATTTTAATCCTCTTTACCTAATATAACATAGTATTATAAATAAGAAGTGAAATGAAGAAAGAATGGCAGTAAATGTAGAATTATTATAAAATAAGTAGTTCCAGATCAATGAATTGTGTATGTTTTAGATAAACACTAAATGATGCAGCATGATATTTAAGAAATACAAAGAATTATCCAAATAGGCATCATGGAAAAAGAAATGTTTTTTTAAGGCACTGACCTCCTCACCTTACTCCTAATCCCCCTCAGAAAGAGCACCACAGGCTCAAAACTATTCTATCACAGACTTAAGAGTACAGTTCCTTTTTCTACTCTGCCCCACCTATCCTTACATGCTGATTTTCTGCAACCACGATGACAGCTAGTACAAATGCATCTTACTGTGTTTGCCCCACGTTTCATTCCAAATGTTGGCCATGGCAAATGGGAGAAATGAGGAGAATCAAATCAAAATGTGGCCTCTAGTTCCCTGCCAACTTCACCTCCCAAAACTGTTTGGACAGCCTACAACAGGAACCTCTGGGTTTCTTACAACTTTGGGGGAGAGGGTCCTAGAAATCAAAACTGCTTTTCACTATCATTCTTTCACAAGTGTCTGGTAGAGTTTTCCAGGCTGTGTGATCACAATAGATTGAATGCAGATGCAGATATGAAAATACAGATGTCTCCCATTAAGGCACATAATTAAACAGATTTGCTAAAGTGTGAAACAATGCCACTCTTCTCACTAATTTTAGTTTTGCTTTGGAAAATTTACTTTTCATAAAAATTTTATTCATGCTACCAAGTAATGGGCTTATTATTTACACTTCTAAATAAATTAAAACAATTTTTAATTGTTTTTAATTTTTATAATTGTTTATTAATATGGTAAATATTGGTAAACACTAAACAAATCAAATATTTTTGAGAACCTCAATTTTAAAGAATGTAAAGAGGTTAAGATCAAAAGTTTGCTAGTTTAGGATATGCTGAGGATAGATACTGAATTAGAAATTAGCTGTATATGCCCATGTAAGCAAAGTGACACAAGCCTTCTAGTCTACTTGTTTATGTAGTTGGGGATGGGGGCTTGAATCAGGTTTTTAAAATCAAGTAATATTTAAATCCACTAGAAGGAGCTGGGTTTCGAAGGAGCTGGGTTTCAAAGTAGTCTTACTGAAGAAAGATCCTAGACCAGAAAGGGTCTCCTTACCCCAAGTTTAGAAAAATAGCTAGGGGTGTAACTGGGACTGGAACCCAACAATTTTGTTAAAAAAAAAAAAAAAAAAACTTTTGTTATAAAACTAAACTACCATCAACCTATCATCTCTTACAACCAAGAAGCTATGGATGGCTTGTGGCATTGTTTATTTGATGTCTACAATCTATCACGTGTAGGAGTCAGCATTTTGGATCTTAGTCACTAAGAGTGACACTAATCATACGGTTAATTCTGAGATAAACATTATGAACATACTTTTTCCTTTTAAAATTTCTTTTTAAATGTTTTTCCATTACAAATATAACATGTCACATTATAATAATTAGAAAATCATTATAATGAGTTTAACCCCTTGCTTTGATGGTTATCAAAATGTAACAATGGTGGCTTAGGAATTCAGCTGTAACATGCATTGACCTTCCAGGATTTCTTTCAGATAGTTAGCTGGCCAAATGCTACAATTAATTCCTCTTTTAAGTTTTAAAAATCGTGTGAACACTATTTAAAAGTACTGTAACTCTTGGGATAGGGAGCAAATTTGCAAGAATGAAGGTAATGTAGAAGGGATGGAAGGAAAGGACAAGAAAAGGCAAATTAAACTTCAAGTATTCTTTTAGCTATTGCTGTGTGCAACTCAGCTATCAAGGAAAAAGCTGTTTCTGCTGTTTGGGATTTTTTTCTTCATGCGTTTTAACTTGAGAAAAGCAAAATAGACCTTCTGGGATTAACTTTTTCCTTTTCACTGTGGGTCACAGGCTTTACACATAGGGTGTTGGCCACCTGTTCTTCCACCACCATCTCTACCTCCACCTCCTCCTTTGTGGCCACAGCAATGTCACAGCCCATACGTGGGGGAGGGGAGCAGTCAGGAACTCGGCGGCAGATGCATTTTTTTCCAAACACAATAACCTCAAACAGTGTTCTCTAAGCACTTTACTGTGCTCTTCCCAAACAGACCTCCTCAACGACCCCACACATCCCCCTACGTTGAAAAGGAACATTACCCGTCCAGTCTGCGCTCAAGGGAGAAGTTTATACCCAGTCGGAGAGATGCTAGATGCAGCAGAGAAGGCGGTACCGAGGCAGCCCAGCGCTGGGCAGGGAGGAAGAGGTGCGGGAGCGGCTAGGGGGAGAGGGAACGACGACGAGGGGGAGGGGAGGCTGGAGCGCAGCGGGTAACCTCCACCGCACCCGACTGCCCCAAGGGGCAGCCCTCCAGACCGCGAGTTTCTACCCCGCAGCCTCCAGCTGCGGCTCTCGGGGAGGAGGAAGGAAGGGGTTCCCCGTCCAGGAAGCAGCACGAGCGGCGGCTGCCTCTAGCCTCACCCTCCTCAGCCCCGCACCGCCCATTCCTCACTACCCGCGTCGCCGCGTCCCCGCGCCTCCCTCTGCAGACTGCCCCAGCCCTGCCTGCCCACGGGTGCCCAGTGCCCCGCGCCCGCTGCCTGCCCCTCCCGGGACCCCTAATTCATTCACTCGTCGCCGGCCCCACCCGGCGCCGGCGAGGAGGGTCGGGACCCGGGTAGGGGCCCAGGAGGGGCGGTCCGCGCCCTACCTCTCTCCCGCACCTGAGAGCCGCCGAGCCTCTGGCCCCCGCCGCCGCCTTCAGTGCCCGCGCCGCGCTCGCTCCCAGTCCGAAATGGCGGGGGCCGGGAGTACTGGCCGAGCTGCCGCCGCCGCCGCCGCCGCCGCCGCCGCCGCCGCCACTACTGCTGCCTCCGCTGCCGCGGCCGCCGCCTAGGGAAATCGAGCCCCGAGCACACAGATGAGTCCGGGCCGGGCGGCCGCAGAGGGCAGAGCTATCGATGCGTTCCGCGCTCGATTCCTCTTCAGACGGGCGCACGGGAGGGAGCGGCTGAGGGCGGTGTGGGAAGAGCGAGAAGAGGCGGCTGAGAGCGCCGCTGGGGAGGAGAAGGGGGCCGGACCAGGCCTGGCGGGCGGAGGTGGAGCGGGGGCCGGCCAGCGGAGGAAGGAATGGCTGGGTGGCGGAGGGGGGGAGCCGGGGGGGCCGGGAGCAAGCCTGGGCGGCGCCTCGGCAGAAGGAGGGGCTGCCGGGCCCACGCGGAGGCCCGCCCCCGGGCTGTCGCAGCAAGGCAGACCCCGCAGCCGCGCACTCCGACCCGCACGACTGCGGCGCGCCGCGCGACCCCACCGAGAGACCGTAGCCGGGTGGCTGCACTGCTGTTTCGTCTACACTGAGGAGCCACGAAAATCTCGCCACCCCCAGGGTCAGCCTGCACTTGTGCACATTCGTTTACTATCATTTACTGCACGTAAATAAACATGCAGTCACCAAAGGTGGGAGGTGACTTCGCTGGCCTGGGGAGAGCTTAGGCGGACAATTCCCCAACCCCGGGGCTTACTAAGGGCCGCCTGAGTATTATTGGCCACAGAGCTGAGAACCTAGCCCAGGCCCAAACAAACGCGACAAATCCTTTCTTCGCTAATCTTGGGATGGGAGGGGGTCTTCTTAATTTTGTTGTTATTCTTCTGGGTATTTTGAAGCCATCACACGGCCTCAAACCAGGGACCAGGGTGTGTACCCACACCCGCTGGGAGCACAAGCCGAAGGCAATTTTTTTTTTTTTTTTAAGTAGCTATGCCCTTGATAGTATAGACCTGCGGAGAGTCATTCAGGCATTAATTAGAAAGATTAATAAGTTAACATTCAAGGATTTAAGACATTAAACAAGGGGGGTGGCAATTAAACGTGTTCGTATTACCAGAGTTTGCATTAATAAACTACCTGGAAATTCATTTGGAAGAGTTTTAAAGATTGAGGCCTGGCAAACTAGCCCTATACCAAATATGACCACCCATCTCTGCCTCTACTTCCAATTCTATCACTCTAGCCCACATCATAAACCAACAATAAAACAGTTATTTTAAATCCCGGATATTAAGTTTGCTAAGCAAGCCTTTACATCAACTGTCACCCTTTTTTTCTACCCTTGTATGGGCTGCAAGGCTTCTTCCAGCCTCCCTCTCCTAGCACCAGGTGGGAGGCAGAAGAGACAAGCTGAAGACAGGGAAGGGAAAAGAATGTGCCTACTCTATGTCAAGTATTTGCTAAATGTTTTGCACATATCATCTTATTTAATTATTACAATAACCTCATGACTTAGAATAATTTTCACTATTTTACAGATGAAGTAAGAAATTTAATTACCTTAAAAGTTGGACAAGTTCACAGTTATGGAGCCTTCATGTAAAATCATTTCCACTCTGCTCCCAACTCCCAAGTGCCTCCCATCCCACTTAACTGAAAGCAAAAGTCTTCTCAAAATACTGCATGGATTTTTTTGTTTATGTGATGTGCCCTACCCTCTTATTTTTTTCTGAACTCTTAACCTAGTATTCTTCCTTCCTTACTACCATATTTATACACTAGTTCCTGCCCATTACCTGAAAATATCAGGCAGGGTTTTTTTTCCTCAGGGACTATGCATTTGCTGCCTCTCTGTCACTATATACACAAAGCCTCCTCTGTCACCTACTTTAAGTCTTTTTCAAATGTGATTTTTTTCTTTGTTTTTAATCATTTGTCAGCTCTCTCTCTCTCTTTTTTTTTTACATTTGTTTTATTTATGTATTTTTGTGTGGTGCTCAGCATGGAATCCAGGGCCTCATAGGTGCTAGGCAACCACTGAGATACAACCCCAGATGCGAATGAGATCTTTTTTAATGATCATCTTTGATACTGGAATGCCACACACACACACCCACACACACACACCCCAAATACTGTCTCTCTTCCTGCTTTATTTTTCTCCATAGCACTCATCACTTTCTAAAATACTAATGTGTTTAGTTTGTTTTCTAATCGCTCTTGCATTTCTCATACCAGAATGTAAACTCTGCAAGGGCAAGGATTTTTGTCTGTTTTATTTACTGCTAAATTTTCATTGCCTGTGACACTTCTCTAACACAAATATGGCACTTAATAAAGATTTATTGAATGTTGAATGAATCTATGTACCTTCCTTCTGAACCATGTGATTCAAAGTCTTTAGAGTGCTTTAAACCACTCAAGTCACTTTCTAATAAACCATACTCTTTGCAGACTAGAAAAGTATCTGATACATATAGGTACAATGAATTTTTGTTGAAAGGAATGAATTTTTACCTACTTACAGGTAGGTTGCTTTGTAGCCATTCTTCAGCATAAATCACAGATGTATTTTGTGTGTGTGTGTGTGCGTAAGTGACAGTGTTGGGATTGAACCCAGGGCCTTACTTCTATAATAGGCAAGGACTCTACCAAGTGAGCTATATCCCAGCTCTATTTTGTGCAACTTTGAGTATATGGTAAGCTCTCATTTTTCTCTTAGAGCTGCAAATAATGATCTTGTAGTACGTGGTGTTTCATAAACCTTCAAAGGAGTACAACATAAGGAAAAGCTGTATGTAGCACTTTTATGCTGATTATAAAAGTTCTCACATTAGCAGAAATCTAATCCATCCACATATTCTCAGTTATCATTATGCTCATGATTCCTAAACTGAGTCTGCATCCCACTGTTTGTGTTATGTACCCTACTGCCCAGCTTTGACCTCATGCTTTTTCTCTTTTCACTACCACAGAAATTTGTACATTCAGTCCTGGGTGTTTTCTCAAAAGCAGCAGACTTCCCCTGCCCATAACTTTCTCTTTCTTTTCTCAACACAGAACTTACAAACTGTGGGTCTCAGGGGAAGTGCTTCCTGAATCACCTGCCATGTTTACAAAACTGCAAGTTCCTAGGCTCCTCACCTAGATATTCCATTTGGTTGGTGTCAGGTGGATCAGAAATCATCATTTTCTTTCTTTCTTTTTTTTTTTTTTTTTTGTATTGGGGATTGAACCCAGGGGCACTCAACCACTGAGCCATATCACCATCCGTTTTTTATTTAGAGACAGGGTCTTGCTGAGTTACTTAAAGCCTCACTAAGTTGCTGAGGCTGGCTTTGAACTTGCAATCCTCCTGCTTTAGTCTCCTGAGCCACTGGTATCACAGGTGTGCACCACCATACCTGGCAGAGATCTTCATTTTTAACAAATCATATGCTCCTAAACTGGCAATTAATCTGCATATTGACAAACTGTTACTTAGATACTAAAGATCTTGGTGGCTGCCCTTTCTACTGTCTTTTAGGGTTCTTCTTCCTCAAATCTAGAGGCTGCATTGAATGGTCTCTCTGGCTCTCCCCTTCTGTTCTCTCCTCAAGAAAAAGCACATAGGCCTAAACTGTGATCACAATGGGAAAAAGAATAGGTAATAACAAGTATAAATGGAATTCTGGGTTTGCTATACAACAAAACTCTAGTTTCTAGCCTCTACTGTTAGACTATTTTAGAAAGGCAGCTACAAACACACAAACACATGTGAACAACCCTTTCATCTGCTTTATGAAGACCACACTGGCCCTTTCCTTTATGGAATATCCTCTTCTACAATTAAATTAGAATTAAAGTCCAAACAACAGGAATATCCTTTTATGAGGTATGAAATGTCAGGCCAGACTCAGGGTACTGCAAATGCTGAGGATTTATTTTGAAAAATAAATGAGAATACCTTAGAAAATCTTATCGTCAGCCAGAAAACTGATGTTTGGTCCAAGCAATTGTACGTTTTGTGATCCAGCATTGAGCTCTGGTACTTCACTTCTCCCCTCTTTAGTAAGTATCTATTTCCTGTAACTCTAGTAATTCTGTTCATGAATCAGCATCTCTCTGCTGCTTTTTCATATAGTATCTGCTTCTGCTGCTATCTGTGCTTTGTGTTTACTTTCTGTAACCTACATACAGACTCTGTCTGTCATTCACTGTTGTATTAGCTTTCATGATTGTGACAAAATACCTGAGCAAAACAACTTAGATGTGGAAAATTTATTTTCGCTCATGGTTCCAGAGGTTTTAATCCAAGGTCAGCTGGCACCTTTCTTTGGGCCTGGGGTGAGACAGAACATTGTAGGGAAAGATACTGGAGGAGTAAAACTATTCATCTCACGGCAGCCAGAAGGCAGAGAAAGAGGATGGAACCAAGGACAAGATAAAGTTCCCAAAGGCGTTTTCCCAAGAACCCACTCACTTCAACTGAGTTTTACCTCCCAAAAAATAACATAATTATAAAATATAATTTTATAAATTGAATAAAATTATAACAAAACTTCAGGCCTATCTCTTCCCTATCTCTTCATAGTCACTTTATTCTCATTTAGTCAATTTCCTGGACCATTTTAAATGAATAGCCTGTACTTATTGCAAATG